TTAGATTTTGTTTTTTTTCTCCTTAATTTTTAACATTTTTGAAATTTTCGTGAACTTCTATTATGCGGCAAAAAATTATGTTCCCACTCCATTAAGCCAATCTCGTATCTTATCCACTAAAAAATATTATGCCTATTATAAAACAAACTAAAGTAAAACATAGTTTTATTATTCATTTTACTATTTGAAATACTATTCATACACTCACATATCATTATTCCTTTCATTATTCATGTCATTTTTTTTAACACTTTGGTCCTCAAATTTTCTAAACTTTTTTTTCAATTTCAAATTTTAATTGTATTATGACTTAGTTCCATTTTGTTTTAGTGTTTTTTGTTAATTATATTTGTTATTTAAAATTTACTACTTTAATTTTTCATTTTTTAATTCTCTTTTTTTCTTCGAGTTTTAAACTTTAATTTGTTAATTATTTTTATTATTTAAAATTTACTACTTTAATTTGTAATTTTTTTTAAATTCTTTTTTTTTTCAATTTCAAACTTTAATTATATCGTGATTTGGTCCCATTTTATTTTAGTGTTTTTTGTTAATTATTTTTATTATTTAAAATTTATTACTTTAATTTATCTTTTTTTTTAAAAAAAAATTCTCATTCAATTAACTTAAAATTATATGTACTTGCAATTTTGATTTATTTTTCTATATGTATGGATTTTGAAATAAATTTTTAGAATATAATTATTTTTTCTTTTGAAAAATAGATTTAGATCATTTTAAAATTATAGTGGCATGGTTAATATATATAATTTGTCTAAAATAAATTTTTAGATTAAATGTGTATTTCAAATAATTTTTTTTCATTTTTTTATGTTATTTAAAATTTACTACATTAATTTATCATTTTTTTTTAAATTCTCTTCTTCTTTTTTTCAATTTCAAACTTTGATTATATTTTGATTTCGTCCCATTTTGTTTTAGTATTTTTTATTAATTATTTTTATTATTTAAAATTTACTACTTTAATTTATTATTTTTTAAAAATTCTCATCTAATTAATTGAAAATTATATTTTTTGGCAGTTTTGATTTATTTTTCTATATGTATGAATTTTGTAATAAATTTTTAGAACATGATTATTTTTTCTTTTGAAAAATAAATTTAGATAAATTTTAAATTATAGTGACATGATTAATACATATATAATTTGTCTAAATTATATTTTTAGATTAAAAGTGCATTTTAAATAATTTTTCTTGATTTTTTAGAAAAAAAATCAAATTAATTAATTGATAGTTAAAGGTCAAATGTAAAAAATAAAAAGAAGATTGTTGCTTTGTGCATGAGGCCTATATTCAAGGACTAGCCATGCATAGCACAAAAAATAAAAAAATATTTAATAAGGAGAAAAAAAAGAATTCACATGTTTTATTAATTTGTTTCTTCTTTATATAATCACAATTATTTGAAATCAAATTTGTAATAATTTTTATTTTAATCTATTAACTTCAAATTTAGTCAATATATTCCTTACAAGTTAACTTTTTATAGTATTTTTTGTTTTAGATCGAATACTCTAAACTCGCTTAGTATAGTTATGATGTATAAAAAAAATATTGAATTGTTATTTTTTTAGAAATCAACTGTGCAACTACTACTCTACTAAGTATTCACTATTTATTTATTTGTTTTTGAATATTTTAAAATTAATTTATTTTAAATTAAATAAATAAAATAATATTTTGGCTTAACTACTCAATGATTCAAATTAATATAGTTTTTTATTTAAATATTATTTATTCTTTTGTAAATAAATATATAAAAATTAAAATAACATTTTTTCAAAAATTGATATTCTTATCAACATTAAATAAAAAAAAATTATTTGTTCAATTCTATGTAAGCTTTTCATAATTGTTATTTATGTTTTTTGACACAATCTTATGAACTACTAAAAATTGTTTTAAAAAAAATATTTAATTTTCTTTTTAGTTAGTAACCCATGGATTAACAAGGATGAATTCCTTGTTAAATTAAAATTTGTTATTATAATCTAAATAGGGCGTACGGATAAGAGATTTTTGACACGAAAGCGTTGGGGAAGATAATATCATAATTATTGATGTTATATTTTTAAAAGAGTGTACTCCACTTCACTTAATACTTACAATATTTGTTTTTAATTTTAATGGCGACATAGCCTACGGATTTTTTGAGGATGTTTTTATCACCAAAATTCAGTTTAATTCTCCGTTATACAATGTTTTAGAATGTTTTATCAATAATTAAAAGTTTTCATATGTTATTTTACTCTTGATTTTAAACTATTTTTTTCTTTTTTATTTTTACTTATCTTAATATTTTTTTCCTATTCTTAAATTCATGATTGAATCTTTGACTAAAAGCTTTTATGGTCAATAATTTATAAAAAATATTAACATAAATATATCCATTTGTTTTTATATTATACTCAAAATCTCTTATCCGTTTTTAAAAATATTTAAAATGTTCAATCTGTATTTTTAATTATATTTTATATTAATAAAATTAAATAGAAGACTTGTGTCTGCGTTATGAACTCGTATAACTATTTGGTCATTATGAAGATTTAGACTTCATAATGCTACATTTTTTAATATATATTAAATAAAATTATATTTACCACTCAGCCAAATATATATATATAAACACACAAAAAGAAAAAAATAACATAATTACATTTTTAATTAAAATCCATACAAATGCAAACAATTAACTTTTCAACATTTATTTGAATGAATTTTAAGAAATTAGTATAGTAGTTCAATTTCTTATTCATCCTTTTTAATCAAATCCTATTAGGTTTCTAGAATTAGGTTACAAGGAGATCCAATTTCGCACGAGTGGTCCTCTAATCAATAACAATTGTTGGTATTTAACAAGATTAAGGAGATGAAATTTATTCTTGAAACATGTAATTAGCCATGATAAATATATTTTATCAATAAGTTGTTGGCTATACAGAAGTGAACTGATTCCAAACGAATTTTCTGTTAATATATATGATTTGAATTATGAAGTCGTATTTATTGAAAAGAGTTAAATCTTGTCATTTTCATTCCAAACATGATTAGTCTTATCACGAGAAAAGGATGGTAAGCTAGCTAAGTAACTAAATTAAAACGTTTAATTAAGATAATTTAATTAAAGAATATTCATGGCTAATTCGAAAGCAGTTGTCAATTTGGTTCACCTCATCTTTGACTATTCATAGCACTATAATTTCACCAATTAATTAACAATTGGTGGGAGTTAGGGACTACGTGAGGTCAGATAGTGTGTCAGACGATGGCTTATAGATCACCTCGTATGTCATTAAGATTATTTTTGTTCTGGGTCAAGAATGCTTTGGCCATGCACCTTTTTTTGGGACTGGATCAGAAACTTTCTTGCCTTAATATGAAGTCTTTCATGACGTTTATGATCCAAAAACTGGGATCCCATTTGAAATATTCTTATATTTTATTTCCAATCTTGATTCCCCTAGCAGGCCTCCTGGATTGGCTATATATATACTTTTGTGATATGCATGGCTCTCTACACAGTCTGCTTGTCGCTTCTCTTCCTGACCTAGTCTTGAGCAATTATCTTAGCTCGACTGCATTTTACAGGTCTAGTCTCTACTCTCCATCAGCTTTCTCTTTGTTTTTCTTTTTGAACTTTCCAATTGCCGATTCTGTTTATCGTTCACTGAATCTGAATTCTGATTCAAGGACTAATTGAATTCTGCCTTAGACAGAACTGGAAGATGGCTTCAGACAAGAGTGAGAATTGCCTTGGCTGGGCTGCCAGAGATCAATCAGGATTTCTATCGCCATATAAATTTAACAGAAGGTATGGCTATCATAATCTTCAAAAGAGTGTTATTCACAAATATTCAACTACTAATGGACTGAAAAATTCTGTAGGGTTGTTGGGAAAGATGACATTTTTTGCAACCATTGACTTTGTATTTCTATGTATTTCTATAATATTAGACTATTAAATCAAAGTTGAAGAAACTTAGTTAATTCAAATAAATAATTTATAAATGTATTATATAGTTTTTTATAATTTAAATAGTAAATAGTAGGATAGATAAAGAAAAAAAAAATTAGGATGACTGGACAAGAGTTTTTGTATATATTTAGTCCCTGTGTTCTTTATTTTGATTGAAGTTTTTTACTCTTCTTTTTTCGTATTGATTTAGTTCGTATACTCTTTATTTTCCAATGCAGAATTTCGTTAAGTGTTTTCTTTCTTCAATCTTTTCTTCTCAAATTTTCGTTTCCTGCAATTTGGTTCAGGTTCATAGCTAGGGCAGGGCAGTGCTGCCTCCTCAATTACTGCTGTGTGACCTTCTGTTTCACTTTCTGTGCTCTTTCATGTAGGTGCTCGCGCAATCACAATTCTTTCTCCCATGTGCTTCCTTTTCTATTCCACAAAATGGCCACAATTTGCAGATGATTTGACTAATGAGTAATGACTGTACAAACCACAAACAAACAGTAATAGAAGCAATTGTATCACTGTAGAAAAGTAAAGAAAAGAAAATTTCAGAAAGACCACCTAAAGGTCGTAGAGCAAACCAAAAACAGGATTGAATCCAAGATTTTTTTTTTTTTTTTTCTTGGGCAGCTAGCTTCTTGCATGGCAGGCCTATTTAGATTTTAGCTAATTTTGAGTTTTTGTTTTTTGGTTGTGCATGTTCGTCTAACAGCCTTTTGAAATCTATCTGCTAGTATCATCTGAAAGGAATTGCATTGCGATCTGTTTTGATCATTTTCTGTCTTCTTATTGCATTGCAGAGTAGCAAATCATCACTCTTCTCCTTCAAATTTGGTTCAGTTTTGTTAATCTGTCAAGGTATAAGCATCCATCTAAGTTCTCTTGTTATCTATTTTCTCAGCTGTTATCTGATTTTTCAGGTAATATATATATATATAAAAAAAGGAGAATTTTTCATCTAAGAAAAATTTTCAGGTAAAAAAAAAAAAGGAAAAGGCTGCCCATGTTTGGCAATGGGAGGTGTTGGATTGCCTGAAAAGGTAACTTTATTTTTATTTTATTTTATTCGTCTCTTCTTTGTAAATAGTTTTTGCTGGCTCTGTTCACTTTCCTAATCTAATCGTTTTTCATCAAAAAAGAAAAACATTTGCAAACTAATGGATGCGCCTAGATATTATATTCACCCTTCCACCCATTTAAAATGACTAAAACTGACTTCACACTAGTGTTTGTTCATTTACTAATCTGATATGATTATTGCCTTGCATTTCATATTGCAGAACTTCAGAAATCAGGGAAATGCATCATCCAAAGAAGCTCAACTAGGTTGTGCCCAAGCCACCAACTATAGGCAAATGAAAAAGTTACCAAAAACCAATACAAGACTCCACTGTAATGCAAACCATTCAAAATCATGTCAAACCAGAACTCCTACCAATTAATCAACCTTTAATTTTGTACGAACTTTCCTCATTGAACCAAGGACCTGTATTCTCCTTTGTAAGTCTTTTCTTCTATAAAATTGAGCAACGAGTTTTTCTCGTGCAGCAGATCGAGATCTGATAGCAAACTAATGGTTCTTATTTGCAGGCTCTGGATAAATCCCTGGACTTCATTATTGACACAGCATCAGGTGATCATCCATTTGATCCTTACGTTGGAACTTTGAAGACTGCTGGAATCCTAGTCCTGGTGGGCGCTCCAAGTGAAATCAAGCTCAGTCCTTTGAGACTTCTTCTTGGTAATGTGATTTAAATGAGGAAAAAAAAAAAAAAAATGCAAGGAAACGTCATTCTAAGCGTCAGAATTCTGATTTCATTAACCTGGAATTGCTTTTTTCCTGACTGTTGCAGGTATGATAACCATTTCTGGAAGTGCAACAGGTGGTACAAAAGATACACAAGAAATGCAGGATTTTTGTGGCATTCACAAAATCTACCCCAAAGTAGAAATTGTACCTATTCAGTCTGTGAATGAAGCACTTGAGAGGTTGATAAAGAATGATGTCAAGTACTGATTTGTGATTGACATTGAAAACTCCCTCAAGTGATCTAGAGGATTCGCAAGGAATGGCAGCAGGGATGAACCATAATTCTTCAGAATTCAGTTATAATGCTAAAAAATGAAAATCTGGTTCATCTTTTTTTTTCTCCTCTTCTGGTCTCTTGTACCAGATAACTAAGAATAAGAGAAGCACTATCTTGTGGAGTTGTAGTGTATTTTAGCAACAGCCTGAGAAAAAAATAGATAGTATTGTGGTTTCTTTCAAGTTTAGAAAGTGAACTGCTTCTGAAATACTAATATTTTCTGTTGAACTGCTTATAATCTAATATGTGATGTGCCATGCTTGTGTTAGCTCTCAAGTTCAGTGCCTTGATACATGGATGCCCCCATGCTTGAGCATTTAAAAGCATCAACAGCCCAGCATAGATTTTCCAGTAATCTAATTTGAGATTAACCATGAATCTGTAAGTATGGGAGGGATATTCTGAATCTCATTTGTTGCACCTAACAGTGACTCTGGTGAGAGAGATGGATCAGATTAATGGAATTTAGAACAAGTGTGAAAGAAATGCTATCATAAGCTAAGAATACAGAGCCGGACTGGCTTGTTAAAGATTGAAAAGCATAGTTCTGCTGGTTTCAAATGAAAGAGCCATTACTATTTGCAGAAAGTTCCTGACCTGTAAAAGTCCTTTATACTGAAAATTTTCACTTGCAACTTGAACATAATCTCTAGACAATCTCAAGATCACAATCTCTTGCAAACTACTTTCGTCAAGAACTGTATTGTATGCAAGATTTGAAATAATACTACTCTTTTTCCCTATGTAAAGTCTCGCATACCAAGGGTCAGACAGCATCACCTTTTGCCGAAAAGGGAAAAAAGCCAGGATATCTGCTCTCGGGAGATTCTTATCTTGTACTTACCTTTTGTTATGACTTATGAGCACAATAAACCAATTCATCGTCATGAAAAGTATATATCCAAACTTGGGGAAATGATGCAGGTTCTTGAATGCTTTTCCTTTATTCATTGGTTTTCTTTTGTTTACCTTATACACACAAAATAGAGTTATGTACATTCTTTTTTTATATTTTTTTTATTTGTTTTTTATAGATTTAGCACTTGACATTTTTTGCAACCATTGACTTTATATTTCCATAATATTATATTATTAAATTCAATGTTGAAGAAATTTAGTTAATTCAAATAAATAATTTATAAATGTATTTATATAGTTTTTAATAATTTAAATAATAAAAATTAGGATAAGTAATGACAAAAAATTAGGATAACTAAAAAAGGGTTTGGTGTATATTTGGTCTCTGTGTTCTTTATTTTGATTGAAGTTTTGTAATATTTTTTGTATTAATCGTGTTCATATACTTTTTATTTATTTATTTTTATTATCGTCATTTTATCATAATGGCATTAGTTTGTGAGTTTATTAGTTTGTGATATATTGTTATCACATTATCACACTTAATGAGCGACATGTGTCATATGTATGTGAAATTCTAATGAAAGAACTCAATCAATTTAAAAAAAAAAAAGAGACTTCGACCTAAAATAATTCGAAAAGTACTGGATTAAATAATGGAAAAAAAACTTAATTTTTAAAAACTTAATAAAACTTGACAAGTTAGTATTTCTCTTTTTGCTGTTTTTCAAATTTTTTATTTTTCTAGGTTTTTTAATTGTTTATCTGTTGTGGGTTTTCTCCAGGCATTTTCCTGTTTTTTCTATGTTTTCAATTTTTTTTTTTAATGGTTGTAGGGATTTTTTATCCAAAAAGTGATAGAGAAGACGTGGGAGAAATATGAATATATAAGGGCATATGAGAGTGAGAAGTTCTTTAAAAGATATGTTGAAAAATTAATTTTCATCCTTTATTTTTTTCAAGTCAATCACTTTTTTTTTTTTTTTTGGAATTTTCTTTATTAATATACTCTTTCTTTTTATATAAAACATGTATGATGTAATGAAAAAAAAAAAAGTCTCCATACACATATCCTAAACATAGCATGCACAATACAATGCATAAAGAACAGTTACTTACCTTTTTATAAGGAATAAACAAGTGCTCTACTACTATATACTTAGGAAAAAAATAAATTGATAGTTCTATTGTTGAAATTGAGAAAAATCTGACATATGATAAATATGTATAAAGTACACTCTCCATTGAAAATAAATTCGCATGCTTATATATAGTAAAGGACTAAGAGACCAGTTCAGTGTTTGGCCATTTCGATCTTATAGAATTTAGCACATGGCTGCATCAGGACTGCCACAACACCATGTCAACAAAAATGATGAAGATTTTTTATTAGCTTTTTGTTTTTTATATTTCAATTGTTTGCCAGATTATGTATTTAAAATATGTTAACAATCGAACGAAATTTATAAGTGGAGTGATAAGAAAATTGTTTTTACTCACTATGTTAGGAGTTTCATTCTCTGGATGGAAATCCTTTCCCTTTCCTTTATATTATACTAGACATGGATTGTTGATAAGTTCAAAAAATTTTACTTTTAGAATTGATCATAGGTTAAGTGTGATTTACAATTAATCTAATTCAAAAAGTTTCGGATTGGACATATAAGAATTAAAAATTCTCTTAAATCTACTAATCCTAATATGAATAAAGCTCTTTTTTTTTTTTTTTTTCTTTTATGTGACATTAGATATTGACTGCTGGTAGGATAAAAAATCAGACATTTAGAATCGATTAAAGATTATGCATGATTTATCGCTAACCTAATCTGAAAAATAATAAACTTAGTTTCGGATTGTATAAGAATTAAAATTCCCTTCAATCCTCTAATGCTAGCATGAGTAATGTGTTTTTGACAGGATCAAAGAAATAAACATAATTAGTTTCGACACACCAAAATTGGTTCGAACATATCTATAACCATAAAGCCACAGTACTCTACTTAGAACTGAACATAATTAGTCTTGACACACAAAAATTGGTTCAAAGAAATGAACATAATTAGTTTTTTTTTTTTTTTTCAAAATATCATCTTGTACTTTGACTTAGAATCAATTAACTTAACCAGATTAAATGCACAATAGCACTACTCTTATATAGATTGAACAGTGTTGTTGGCAAAAAGTGGTATTTTGATCTTCAAGAACAAAAAATTAGTAATTTGCATATGGGTCATGGCTTAGATTATTAAATGTCTTTTCAATGCTTTCAATAGCATTAAAAGATAGATCTACACTTTCTGTCTTGATAAGCTTTCTTGACAGCACAAACATGGACAAAATATCTGCATGGAATTAGATTGAGATGATCTAATGTCACAAACTTCAGTAATTTGATTTGCTTTGGAGTTAAGGGCTCCATCTAAATTGTTGGCCTTGCATATTGCAGCACAACCTTTTTGTTAGCTATTTCGAAGTATATCGAGGGTTGTTAAGCTGTTTAATTGGATATAAATGCATGTTATATGTTTCATGTTAGGCATGTTTTCATGTTTAGCATCATAATCGGTGATTAGACAATTAAAAGATTAACGTTAATAATTAGTAGTTATCAGAAACGGGATTAATTTCTCATGATAGACATTGAGATACATAGCATTCACGATGCAGGCTAAATTGTCAATAGGACATTTCAAACACACTTAGTAGTTGTTGGAAACTTTGGAATGATCTTGAAGAAGAACAAAATTATGTAGTGCTTAATTACGTACGGAAAATACCCCACATTGTCCTTAAGGTGATTATTGCCCCCCACTATAATGCTGCAAGAGTTTTAACAATTCACCTCTAGGATACAATTTTGCACACAAGGAACTCGGGCATCACTCCTGAAATTCCTTCAAGAGAATATCTCTTAAAGTTGTAGAGTTTTAGAAGAAAAAGAATTTTGAGAGGAGAGGAGGATTGTAGAGAAAAATTAATTGATTTTCCTATGCGAGTGGTTCCCTATTTATATATTACCGATACCTTTTCATAACATACGTTACTCGTTGATTCCAAAAGTCATAACTCGTTGGTTTCTAACGATCACAATCCAATAGTCATAACTATTGAATTCTAACGAACATAATTGTTAGATTCTAACGAGATATAACTATTGGATTTTAACAAACATAACTCGTTAGAGCCAACTATTATGTTTATTTGAAAATTATTAATAACTAATCAACTATAACGAGAAAATTAAAAATACTTTCAAATTTTCTTCATAGCACACTTAACTTATTATATACCATTCTTAAGATTTCTAACAATCCCCCACTTAGATAATAACATTAAGTCTTTATAATATCACGCATAAAAGAAAGATGTTTCTCGACTTAAATCTCCTTTTAGTGTAAATACCTCAAAGTCTTAAGGGAATAAATGGTATCTTAAGCAATTGAACCACTATCCTTTGTATTAGAACTAGAAATACCACACATGTGATCTAATCCAACTTCTTTTAAAGATTTTCAAAAATTCTTTTAGCACTTATATAGCCATGTGCTACATCCTAGATTTTCATAAACATTTCCAAAAGTCGACCCTTGAACTTTTACCAGGAGCAACACCACTCCTTATGTTTATATAGGTGAAGTTCTTATTAAGTTTTGAATATATTGGTCATATTCCTTAACTTAATCCTCATTAAGAGTTTATAACTCATGCTCCAAACTTTATTAGTAATAGATAACTTGGAATGGAAACATATGTGGAATATTTTAGTTCTTCCACGACCACTTATCGATAACTTATTTTTACCCATTGAACTTTAAACTAGTGATAATACTAGAGAAAAGTTGGGTTTCTATTACTCGGTGACTCTAGGAGAAGGGTCTTAAACCGATTCCAATTGAGTTTTTCCATACTAAATATTTAGTAAGTGCTTTTGTAAATGGATCTCGCTAAGTTGTTACTTGTTCTTATATATAAGATTGTGATAATTCCTTCAAGAATTAATTGTTTGACATATTCATATCTCAAGCTTATATATCTAGATTTTTCATTGTATATCTTGCTAAAAGCCCTAGAC